CACCACGCGGCTAGGGTCGGCGGCGAAACCCGAACCCTACCCTCGCCGATCAGCGATTCAGGAAACTCGATGGGCATCGGGGGTAGGAGTCGGAATTCGTCGAACACTCGGCGAAATCCGAACCCTACCTCCGCTTCCCATCGATTCAGGAGAATCGATGGTTGGTGGGGGTAGGTTTCGGATGTCGCGATTCGTTGGGTAGCCGCCCATTCAATCCCTCGTGGCTCCCTAGTTTTGGCGGCGAGCCCGGGGGGGAAGTGAGGGGGCGGGCCTTCTCGGAAGGCTCGGAAGGCCTCTGGCCTTCTGAGAAGTCTTCTGAGCCTTCCCCGCAGACACAGGACTTCTCTGAAGTCCAGAGGGCTTCTGAGAAGCCCTTCCGCCTTCTGAGGAGGCCTCCTCTTTCTGACTTCCCCCCTCCCCGGGCACGCCGCTGAACTTCACCCCTCGTGGTTCCTCCGTCGTCGTCGCTGTCACCATTGTCTTTTCCTCATCCTCTTCACATCCCCTCCTCTTCTTCCTCCTCGTCCTCTTCCCTCATCCATTCCTTTTCCTTGTGGAGCGCTTTTGACCTTCAAGGCCTCCTGCACTCCCCGAGGGCATCGGGGGCCCGTGCGCGGGGCCGTCCAGAGGGGCCGTCCTGGGAGGGGTGGGGGGGGCTCCCTCGGGCAGGTTGAGGAGGAGAAGGAGGAGGAGAAGGAGGAGGAGGAGGAGGAGGAGGAGAAGAAGGGGGAGGAGGAGGAGGAGGAGGAGGAGGAGGAGGAGGAGGAGGAGGAGGAGAAGCAGGACCAGGAGGAGGAGGAGGAGGGCCAGTGTAAACCGCAGAGTCATCAACGATGTTGGAATCAATCCTCCCTCCAAGCTCCCGTTTCATATGCCCCTAGAAGGGGTTCATTTCCCCTGCAGGAACTGCCTCGTTGGAAGACAACCGTTTGAAGACCCTGAAGCATGCCAACACAGTGTTCTCGGGGTTCCAACTCCACAGATCAACTTGACTGTTGCGTCTTGACGATCCAGGAGTTCTGCCAGAACGTCATTCCTGTGACTCCACCACCGCGAATCAATGTTCATGTTGCACCGTCGTAATCCAGAATCCTTCCAACTCTGGTACGCTAATCATGGGAACCCATGTAACTCTTGCAAGCTGTAAAGACGAATGTGTGCGGCGCTAAGGCGAGAGCCACTTTTTGAAAAGGAACCTCCCAGAATCCGCGAAATCCTTGCATTTGTTGAACGAATGTGCGCGGCGCTAAGGCGAAAGCCACGTGGTGAATACGATTCTCAGTCAATCCGTTAAACTTTTGCAAATGTTTGATGCCAATGTGCGCGGCGCTAAGGCGAGAGTCACAGTTCGAAAACGACCCTCCCTCCATCTGTGAAGTTGTTGCCATGTTTGAAGCTTCAGGGTTACACATTGTGAGGAAGTCTCAGGCGAAACGCCTGGCCCGCTCTAAAAACTGGCCTCGGTGTGCGCAATTGTTTATAAGGAATGGAGGAGGATGTGGTGGAGGAGGAGGAGGTGGAGGAGGAGGAGGAGTAGTAGGAGGAGGAGGAGGAGGGCGGATGAGGACGAGGAGGGCGAGGAGGAGGAGGAGGAGGAGGAGGAGGAGGAGGAGGAGGAGGAGGGAGGAGAAGGAGGAGGGAGGAAGAGGAGGAGGAGGAGGAGCAGGAGGAGGAGGAGGAGGCGGCGAGGGGCGGGCTGGAAGTGCGCGACCCTTTTGATCCATGCTTCCCAGACTGGGTCCGATTGGGGAGGAAAATGGTACAGTGGAAATCCATGCCAAGAACGACCCTGCTTGCATCCAGGGTGCCCTTGGTTTCTTGGGGTTCGATGGTTTTTCTTTCCCACGCCAAAAATCAATGGACGTCCTGGGGTCTCGGGGTTAGGTTTCTTGTGGAAGGTTTCTTGTGGCCTCCCAGATGGGGTCCGAGTCTGAGTCAGAGGATCAAAAGGGTACCCACACCGCTACCCTTCCCTCGTTTTCGCCCTTTCTGGGCCTCCCAGGAGGCCCTCGTGGCCACCGCCGGATTCGTCTCGAAATTCTGGTCGAAGCGGCCCCCGGGAGAGGTCTCGGGAGTAGTGGTATCGGTACTTGTTGGTTTCCCCAGCTCTAGGCCTCCCAGATAGTGTCCGAGTAGATGGGGTCGGAGGATCGCGCCGCATCGGTGATACATCGGCGGTGCGGCTCGATGTGGAGCCCGATTTCCTCCACGCGGCCGTCGCCGCTGCATCGCCGACGTCGCCGATGCATCGACGATGCATCGGAAATACGGCGGGATCCTCCGACCGCATCTACTCCGACCCTATCTGGGAGGCCTCTACCAAGGGTACCCTTGCATCCTTTCATCTTCGGTCATCTTCGGTCCATCCTCAATCACCTTCGTTGGCCAGCCCCACTCGGACAGCTTCGATATTTGCGTCCAAGGCTCTTGTATTCCCATCGTGCCTCTTCACTATCAGTTTGGACTGTAGCTGCCAAATGTGTGGTGATGCTGGTTGCTGTTCGTCGTCTTCGGCCTGCAAGATGCAACAGAAGGCCCTCCTACAACCTGTGCCCCCCCCCCCCCCAGAAGTTGTCATCCCGTGTAGGGGAGCAGCAGAGGAGGAGGGCGCGTCCCTCCCCGGGGGGCTGGAGGGCTCAGTTCAGTGAGACGTGTCTAGCCCACCAGCCGGTCAGAGCGCTGATGGTTAGACTCGGCGGCGTGCCTGAGGGGGGAAGTGAGAAGGAGGAGGCCTTCTCAGAAGCCGTAGACACGCTAACGGCGATGCAGGTAACGGCGATGTAGATTGTGGTATTACATGTGGGGGTGGTTCGTGGCTAACCCAGTTGTAGGAGAGCGTTGTTCGTGTTTTCGGACCATGTGTTCTACGCGAGTTCGGCGTCGCAAGACCATGATCCCAACATCGTTGTTAACCAACATCGCCGATAGTGCTGCCTTGGAGATGGCGGCGGGGCTTCTCAGAAGCCCTCGCGCCTTCTGAGAAGTTTCTGGGTCTTCGGGGAAGGTTCAGAATACTTCTCAGAAGGACAGGGGACTTCCGAGCCGTCTGAGAAGGCCTACCCCTTCTCACTTCTCCCCCGGGCTCGCCGCCGATAGATACTCCTTTTCTGCTTCCCATGTGAGCCTTTGTTTGGGTCTCTTTTGTGTGAATTCGTAGGAGACATTCCTAGACATTGTTCCTCAACTGTGCTGGGTTCCGCTGGCTGCTCTTGTGGTTCCCCTGCCTTCTGCCCCTGCCTTTGCGGCTTCCCTCCTCTTGCTCCCTCTCCTCCTTCTCTTCCTTCTCCTTTCTCTCCCATTTCTCCTCCTCCCTCTCCTCCCTCTTCTCCCTCACATCCTTCTCCTCCTTCAACTCCCCTCCCCCCCCTCCTCCCTCTCCTCCTCGCTTCCTCCCTCTCCTCCTCCTCTCCGCCCCTCCCTCCCCCTTCCTTTCCTTCCTCTCTCTGCGTGCCCGGCGCGCGCAAACAGTGCCCAGCTGGCACGCGCAGCCCTCTGCAGCCACTCGCGATCGCACCACGATGGCATCCGGCCGAGTCCCCCGGTACAGCTGGGTCGCTCCAGGCCTCCTGGGTGTGGTGGGCCTGTTAGCCACCACCACCACCACCACCACCACCAGAAGCTTGAGGGGGGGGAGGAGGAGGAGGAGGAGGAGGAGGAGGAGGAGGAGGAGGAGGAGGAGGAGGAGGAGGAGGACTATCTCCCATAAGTTGGAGGGGGAGGAGGACGAAGAAGAGGAGGAGGAGGAGGAGGAGGAGGACAATCTCCCAGAAGTTGGAGGGGGAGGAGGACGAAGAGGAGGAGGAGGAGGAGGAGGAGGACCACCTCCCCCTCCAACTTATGGTGGTGGTGGTGGTGGTGGTGGTGGTGGTGGTGGAAAGCATGCCCATCAAGGTGGGATCCGAGTAGATGGGGTCGGAGGATCTCGCCGCATCGCCGATGCATCGGCGGTGCGGCTCGATTTGGAGCCCGATGTGTTTCACGCCGACCTTGCCGATGCATCGTCGGCGTCGACGAGGCATCGCCAGTGCATCGCCGATCGCCGATGCATCGTCGATGTATCGGCGATGCGGCGCGATCCTCCGACCCCATCTACTCGGACCCCATCTAGGAGGCCTCTAGTCGTCTCACTGCTGGTGATGGGCCTGGTGTGAGTAAACAGACTGCTAGACAGTGATCGTTTTCTTATTCATTGTTTTGCCGATCCCCCGATGGAGTAGATCTTGGCTGTTTGGGCGCCTGTTTCAAGCAGGTGGACGGCTCCCCGTAGGGTTCCTACATGGGAACACTGATCCAACCAGTCGCACTAAGCAGAGGTCCAGAGCCAGACCCTCCCCTCCACCTCTCCCGCTCAGTGTCGAAACGCTGCGCAAGAAAACGCTCACATACGACAACCCGCCTGTGGTAGCTTTTCCTTGGTATGGTTCAAATGACAAGCACTAAGTACCCATAACGCTACCCTTGTCTCGTTTTCGCCTTTTTGGGCCTCCTGGGAGGCCCGCGTCGCCACTGCTGGATTCGCCTCAACATCCTGGTCAGAACGCACCCCAGGAGAGGTCCGGGGAGTAGCGGTATCGGTACCTTGTGGCTTTCCCAGTTGTGTGCGAGCCCTGCTATGAGTGACGATGGTTGCATTTCCGTCCCCCTCCCCCCCCCCCCGAATTGGAGCAGTGGCAGGAGCGCCAGTCTGGCGAGAGCGGCCTGTTCCTGGTGAAGGTCGTGCGGCCGATGTACAACGCGATCTTCGACGAGTGGTACGACAAGGTGGACGTGAACCCCAGCAGCTCGAAGGATCCGAATGATAAAACAACGCGCTCACACGTACACATACACTTTCGGAGCTCCCCGCGGATTTCTTGGATTCGCGCTGGACTCCCCTTCATGGCGCGCGGAGCGCGCCAGGGGCGGCGCTGGAGGCTCTGCCAGGGGGCTCCAGCGCAGATCCAGGAGGTCCGCGCGGAGCTCGGGCAGTTTCTGCTAATGCCACCGTTTCATCTTCCGAGGACGTCAAGAAGCTTCGCGAGGGCTTCGACGCCCACCTGCCAGGAGACGCTGCCAACTACGACGACTGGAACGAGCTCTTCTCGGTGGCGAGCGAGGGGGGAACATGAGAAGGAGAAGGCCTTCTCAGAGGGCTCGGAAGCCCCCCTGCCTGCTGAGAAGTCTGCCAAGCCTTCCCCGAAGACAGGCAACATCTTCTCAGAAGGCGCGAGGGCTTCTGAGGAGTCCCGCCGCCTTCTGAGAAGGCCTGCTCCCTCTCACTTCCCCCCCTCGCTCGCCGCCGATCTTCAGCGACCCGCCGAGGCTGGCCGCGGGGCTCCTCCTGCAGGACGGCAGCCGGCTTTTCGAGCACGCGCACGGGCAGAGGTTCCGCCACCTCGCGGCCGTCGACTGGGAGGTCTCTCTCCAGGCTTGGCCTCATGGCGCCAACATCGCAGAGCGGGTTTCGTTCGGAAAGCGATCGGATGGGCTCGGAGTGTCCTGGAGAATTTCGTTCCGGATTTCGAGGTGCGTTCCTTATTTTTGTTTTGGGGGCCAGGGATGAAGACTGACCAAAATTCACGCGCAATTCATTACGTTGTTCACTCGCCATTTAGGGTTTTTGCATTGACAGAATCCACGCAACAATCCGCTGCAGCACGTCTGCAAGGTCGGTGCAGTGACAGGCTCGGTCTCGGGTTCGAGGTTCGAGGTTGCGAGGTTACAGTGTCGATCTGTTAGAGCGTTTCCGTCGGTTCTCGGCGCTTTTCCAGCCTCGGGATCGGCAGCGCCGCGTCGAGAGGCGTCCAGGGGTGCTGGGATCTCGAACGGCCGCCAGACCGTGCAGTTTGTTATCGGGGGCCTGTCCCCCATCTATCGGCGACGTATTATGTCGCAATCGCATGGCCGATTTGTCGTTCAGGCCACGGTTCATAGCATGAGTTTGCTTGTTGCAGGTCGGCTCGTGCGGTGTTTTGGTTTGCCCCGCGACCTTTGGATTCGCGGTGCGGTTGTGTGTCACCAGCTGCATTTTGCGCGGGAAAGCATATCGGCGATGCATCGCCGAGTCCAGGCCGACATCTCCCCCGCTGAGCCAGCCCCTCCTTCACCCTCTCTTCGCACGGTCGGACGACAGGGGAACGGGTGGGTGCGACATGTGCTGCATCCCGCTGGTCTCGGCTCCGCCGCCGGGCGCTGGCCTCGATGCCGACAGGGGCACGCGCCAGTACCACCGACACGCGTCGAGGGGTGCCTCGCGGCGGCTCGTTGTTGACACATCGGCTCGGCGCCGGGAGGCGCCAGGCAAGTCAGCCACGCGAGCGGACCCCCCCTCTCTTCCCCTCCTCGCGCTACAGGCAAGCCGCCGAGAGCAGGTCCGCCTCGGGCTCAGGGGGGGCTCGCTGGCTTCCAGGCCACCCCCGCGATCTCGCTCACTGGAGTCTCGTCATGGCCTGGGCTCTCCTCGGCCAGCAGAGCTCGGGGGCAGCGATATGGGGGCATAGGCATACCCCTCGGTCGTCGAAGGTAGGTATTATTCGATTTCCAGATTCCAGTCTACGTTAAGCGCCTTCCTACTTCAATGATCCAGTGGCTTCACCTTTTCCGTCCTCCCAAGGGGGCGGATGAAATCAATTTTGCTCTCAACGCCTTCCTACTTCATGTTTCTACCTACTTCTGAGTTCCGACCGAGGGGTAGGGGGAGATGCATCGGCCCCAATCGCCCAGTGATCGGCGATGGGGGCCCGATGACCCCACCCTGCCCAGGAGCACAGGAGCATGCGGGTTTGCTATCGAGGGGTCTGTCGCCGATCCATTGGTGATGTATCGCCGGTTCCAGGTGTGCCAGTCCCCCCCTCATCGCTGTCCCTCAAAGCCCCTCCTCCTGCTGCTGCTGCTCCTCCGCCTCCTCCGCCTCCTCCTCCACCTCCACCTCCTCCTCCTCCTCCTCCTCCTCCTCCTCCTCCTCCTCCCTCCCCCTCCTCCCCCTCCTCCTCCTTCTCTCCCCTCCTCCTCCTCCTCCTCCTCCTCCTCCTCCTCCTCCTCCTCCTCCTCTTCCTCCCTTTCCCCTTCGGTAGCCATTTTGGCTCAAGTCCGTAGCGTTGGCTCGGGCTTGGCAGACTGGGGGGGGGCTCGCGGCCCCCAGCCGCGCGCGCGCGCGTTCGCCTGCACAGGCGACACACCTTGCTAAAGTACCCTCCACCACAGTTTTTTTGCCGCTTCGTCCATTTACTCCCGTCCATGGCAAGTCATGGTTCTTCCTCTCGTTCGCCAGTTAAGTCGGGAGCAGGGAAAGAGAGACAAGCTTGGGCTGGGCCTTGGTATTGTAAATGGTGCTTTCATCCCCGCTCAGGCGACAAGTGGTGGAACCATGGCGACTTCACCTCGTGCGCCCTCAGCTCCGTCAACCAGGGGGGCAGTTTTGGAGGTGCCAAACCAGTGTCCACCAGCCCGAGTGTGCGGGCGCCCAGGCTCGAGCAGCCCCGTGTCAAGCAGCAGCACCGCGACAAGCTCCAGGAGTAAGAGTTGGAGATCGCCCGCCTGAAAGAGCAGCTGCGGGCAAGGGGCAACGCTTCGGCGGCAGCAGGCGACGACAGCGATGCTGATGATCCCGATCAGAAGCGCCTCATGGGGATCGCGAGCGCCCTCAAGGTCTTGGGCGACAGCCCCAAGGAGGCCTCCCTCCGTGTCGCCAGAGAGACGCTCACCTCGGAGAGGGACGCCATCAAGGATAATATCGTGCGTGGCAAGCCGTTTGCTGGCTGGCTCCATCACTACACGGCGCGCATCGAGTCTCTCGAGAAGCAGCGCTCACACCAGCAGAAGGAGCTCGCCAGTTTCCCGCAGCAGCGTGAGCGGCTGGATGCCGCCATTGCCGACCCGGAGAAGGTCCTCGCGGGCCTCGATGCGGACATCCAGGAGCTGGAGGCCCAGCGGTGGCAGGTCTTCGCCAAGGCGCCCACCGCGGTCCCAGGGCAGTTCAGCTTGCAGGCAATGATGCCTGCGCTCGACCTTTCAGTGGAGGCGCTCGGGGACATGCTCACAGGACTCGGGGCGGATGCCGCTCTGTCTGGCAGTGTCACTTCATGCTTCGCTTCATTGCGCGAGCTGGTCAACAAGAACCAGCAACAGCGTTATGAAGCTCGAGACGACGGGACGCAGCCGCCTGCGGAGGCCAGGGGCAGCGCCGCTGGCCCCAACATGCCCATGCCCGAGCGGCACGCGGAGGCCAAGGCGCGTGCAGTCCCCATGGACACCGACGACATCGAAGGGTTTCTCTCCTTCGTGCAGGCAGCTACAGGTGGCGACCCTCGTGATGATGACTCCCAAGTGCGAGAAGCAGTCGAACGGATGGGTGAGGCGGCGCAGTGCTGGGCATCCAAGCGAAGGAAGCCCACTGCGTGACCTGTTCGTGATGCTCCTGACTACATTGACTACGCTTGGTTCCTGATTGGAGGTTCGAGTTTCCGGTGGTCGTTGTGGTCCTTCCCAGCCAGGTGCAAGCTCTGATGCCGGCCGCGTTGCTGGGCAGCCTTGCGCGCGCCGGCGATGGCGACGGACGTGCCCCCGAGAGGGCCGCGCCCAGCCAGGCGACGGGAGCCAGAGCCGCTGCTACCTACTCGAAGGCACCCGTCGCATGGGCGCGGCCGTGCATGAGGACACCACAGCGTGTATGGCTTCTATGTGCACACGTCTCTCGGATTGCGGTGCGCCTGCGTGGCAGAGCGGGGGGGCAAGCTCTGTTGACGGGCTCGCTTGGCGGTCTGGCGCACGCTGGCCTTAAATGATGGCCCTGCCCCCAGGGTCACGCCTCGTGAATCTACGGATGCAAGAGCCCCTGTTTGCCCATCCTGCCGATTTTACATGTGGCCAAGATTGCGGATTCTATTTACGACTTGTGGCGAATTGGTTCCTATGTTGTGGAGCTGCGCCTGTCTCGCTGACCACGGTCAACGCGTCGTCCGATGGGGCCGTCGGCGACGTCTTGAGCATGCCCGAATGTGCGGGCTCTGTGGTGCTGCTTCAAGAGCACCATGCGGATGCTGAGCAGCTACCTCACGTTGCACATGCCGTCGCTCGTTCGGGCGCCACAGGAGTCATGGCGGCAGTGCCCATCACGGGGCGGGGAGTTGCCTGCGGAGGGTTCGCAGTTATCGCTCCACCACATATTCGTGTCAGCCTTGGGCCAGACTTATCTGGGCTTGAGGGCGCTGGTCTCGCATGTGCACATTTGGCCCTCGGGTGGTCTAGTCGTCACTTCTCTCTACCTCATTGATTCCGAAGGCCTCAGCGAAGGCTATCTTTCTGTGATAGGACGTCTAGCGGATTACATCACTGGCCTCAATGCACAGCAGATGCCGTGGCTCATAAGGGGGAGACTGGAACAGTGATCCCTACGCCGTCCTGCCTTGGCTCAACTCTTTGCGTGGCGTAGGAGCCCGCGCAGATGCCCCGACATATCATGTTGCCAAGCCAGGTACATGCCGTGATTGCTTTGGCATGGCAGCTTCTCTGGTCACATGGCAGCACGGCGTACACGTGTTGGAAGGGGCGAATGCCTTTCCCCACCTTCCTGTCCAGCTTTCGCTTCGCTACGCATGCCATCGGAGATGGGCAGGGGTGCTTCAACAACCTCAGAGGCTCCCACCTATTCCGAAGCCTGGCTGTGCCCGCTTCTCCCCGTGGGAGGCCTGGCGGCGGGACCGTGGCGGCGTAGCCGCTGCGCGGACGCCGGGTGACCTCGCCGCGGCCTGGGATGTTATGATTCGAGGTCTCGATGGGGGGCTGCCCGACCGACGCGACATCGTCAACCACGAGGGGCGGGCCAAACATATAATCACCGCGGGGCCTCTACGCTGGGAATGGAAGGAAGTCGAGCCTGTGCAGCCGCCTGCTCCGCGAAGGCTGCATGCCTACAAGATCTACGGGCGTTGGTTCAGGCATCTTCGGTCCGCGTGCCAACGCGTGCTCCTGCGTCTGCAGCGCCTCGCGCAGGGCCGGCAGGATATCTCCCCTGCCAGGCTCCTACCAAACGCTGTGGGTCAATGCGGGTTGTTTGCTGTTGAGGAGGAAAAAGGAGGCTGCTCTCATGGCCAAGTTGGCTTGGGATCTGCAGGGCTTCTTGGACAGGGTCCAGAGGGCTCGGTGGGTGCACGTGCTGCTGGGCACCGAGGATCGCCACCTCCTTCAAGACCCGCATGCTGCGTTCTATTCAGTCACTTTCGAGCTGCGAGCGGAGCAGGCCATCGCCAAGGCTGAGAAGGTCATCGGGGTGATCAGCCAGGTCCAGGCGCAGGAGTGGACCGACTGGGCCACCAAGGCCTTCGTCAACGGGGCCGCGGTCGCCCATCGGTATGCCGAGGTCCGCGACCTCCGGGATGCCCTGAGCTACGTGATCGATGAGGGGCAGCCGCTCCGCATGGCCGACGCCTG